CTGGCTGGGGAATTCTGGGAGTTGAAGTCCACCCATCTTAAAGCTGCCAAGGTGGAGAAACACTGGGTTAGAGAGTGCCCAGGGCTCGGCGCTCACCTCCCGCTCGTGTTCAATTTTCATACTGGGGTTGGCATTGACTTCCAGCAATATCGGCTTCAGATTCTTCATCAGCAGGATGTCAAACCCTAAAATCTTTGGAGAAGAGAAAGCAACAGTTTCTCCCCAACTCTTTCAAAGAAACGGAAGAACGGAATGAAACCGTTTTCAGGGCGCCCTTTCAGACTCTAAGGAACTCAGCCCAAAACTCAGCTGCCCCAAAGACCTGGGCCTGAGGGGCTCTGCTGGTGCCCACAAGCTTAGCAGCCAAGGGTTAGGGGAGGAATCCTGGAGCTGCGTCCCAGGGAGAACTCGGAGGTGCCCATTGGATCTCTGCAGGCACCCCTAATCGAGGGTTACAGTAACCCCCGGTGGCAACCTCTGCTCGGAGAGGAACCTGGAAAACACAAAGGGCTGGCCCACCTAACCTTTTACAGCATGGCGAAGCGGGGGGACCCTTTTGCAGCCTGCACAACCCCAGACCCCAAGGCAGGGGCTGGGGGGTAGGGAAGCCGCGACCCACGCCTGACCCACAACTCTCCAGAGCATGACCCATGGTTGATTCCCCGAGTCCTCTCAGCATACTTTGGACTCACCTGAAAGCAAGAAGGCCCCGGCTTCCCAGCGGGAATATCAGACTGGTAGAACACCTTCAGCTCGGGGACGATGGCGATCACGGTCTTGACGACCAGTGAAATGATATCAGACCAGACCTTCCGGATGTCAATGCCGCCGGACGACAGCTTGTCGAGGATGCTGGAAAACATCCGCTTGCTCCCGGTGTTGCCGCTGTCCGAGTGGACAAAGTTCCCGCTGTGGATGTTGAGCGAATAGTTGGTCAGGTGCATGTACACCTGGTGTAGGTTCCTCAGAGCCGGTTCCTGGTAGGGCTCGGTGCAGAACCGGCAGAGCCCGTCCTTGGCGATGTAGACCTCCAGGGGATCCAGCGACTTCAGCAGGACGTACAGACGGATGTCGAACTTCAGCTTGTCGATCAGGAACGGCTTGGACATGTACTCCTGGACCACCGCTGGCCTGCTCTGCAGGTTCGCCATCATCCGGATCTCGGTGGGATCCTTAATGAGGTAAATGCCGTCCCCCTGGCAACCTCCGTCGGGCTTCACTATGAAGGTGGGCCTCCACCTGGGGTTGCTCTCTTTCATTAGGTTTACCTGACGGGGAAGCAAGAGGAGGAGGAGTCCTTAAACGCCTTCTGCTCTTCCGAGCAGCAAACCGGATTCGCCTTTTAAGCCTGGCATAGCACAATCTTTTAAGCGGTGGGAGAGACTGACTCACGGTCGCTGCAGGAACTTCAGGGCTGAACAGGGATGTCAGATCCATCCGTGCCTACATCTCAGCTGAACGCAGGTGTGGGGAGTTAGGGGAACAATGTTTTCGTGGCTCCCGATATTCCGGGATCCTACGATGGGTTGCTGGGACACATCAGCCATCCAAGATTGTGGCTATTTCAGCAGCTCCAAGCGAGCTCCCGCTTTCCATCCTCCCAGAAGGTTTGGAAAGGAGGTAGTGGCGCTGGAGGTGAGACTCTTAAAAGCGAGCTGTGGGTCCAACAGGAGACATGGGGCAACTGAGAGAGAAATCTGGTGCCTGGAGCCTTGCCAGTTTCAGACTCAGCTGCACCATGGGGTCACACTTGCGCATCCCTCAAGAGCGGGTCAATCTGCTTGGTTGGGGGCTAGAGCAGGACCTACCAAGGAAGATCTACCAAGGACCTGCCAAACCTCAGAGTGTGTGCAAGGAGACTTCTCATGGGCTTCTGGCTGCAAGACACCAAAAAATGGAAGGAGAAGAAACCTGGATTAAAACATCAGCCTTGCAAAGCTGTGGGTGGCAAGTTGCCCCAGGGTCTTGCAAGCTGGCCTCTTCTTTTTTTTAGCTGGTTTTCTATTTATTGTTTTTAGCTGGCTGGTTTTCTATTACCACCACGGAGGGAGACTCCATCCATTGGAGGGTGGGATGCCTTACAGCAAGCACCCCAAAACTCACAGGTTTTGGCAAATAGCTGTGAAAATATTGAGGCCTGAGCATGAAACATTACAAAACTTTTGCCCACTTTCAGCACCCAGATTTTGAGGGTCTTTCCCTTCTTAGGGACCAGCACGGCTCCCGCAGCTATTTTAATCAGCTTTCGAGCTGGGGGCATTCAACGCCCTTAGATGGGCCCAGGAAAGTCTCAGTGTGATGTGTGCTGCCCCCTGGTGGACAGGCTCAGGAATCCATCCGAAGGGAAATGGCAAATATCTTAGTTTTTCGGACAAACTATCCAACCCAAGGCACTGGCTACGAATTACGGACCCAGCCCTCAACCAGAAGCAAAGTGAGAGTGCAGATATGGGCACAAGGAAGAACGGAAGCCAAAAAATGGATCCCCACTTAATTTGCAGCAGGAGAACATGAAAGTGGGGAGCACAGGTCCCATCGGACATTTCTGAGCAGAGCACGTCTCCCACTGTGGCCAGAAGAACTAAACTCTGGCAAAGAGCTATGCCCCCACTGGTGGAGTTGTTGGGAAGCCCAAGGCTGCTTCTTCAGAAACTGAGAAGAATTTCTGGGCATCTCTTAAACCCACGTTTTCCTCCGTCCTGCCCTGTGGCACCCTGTCAGCACAACGTCCAGAGTCAGGGAGAAGAATCTGTGAAATGGCCACAAAGAGCAGCTCCCCAAATCTTCCGCTTCACAGGACCGGCTTCCCCTTCTTTTCAACATCCGTAAAAACAGCACTGAACCTGGTGTTGGCTAACCAGAGTGTACGTTTCCTTCCAACACAGATGGAAGACCATATGTGGGGCTGTTTTATCGGCCATCTGCTGTTTGCTGCATCAAAGCCTGCCAGGGGTGGGGCCCGCTCTGCTTATAGGAAGGGTGGGGCCTCGGCGGCCTCGGGGATTTGCCCCAAGGGTGCCCTGCAAAGGCTGGCCAGTGGACGCTGCATGGCAAAACCTCTCCTGTCACGCCCGGAGAGCGGATCACAGAGTCGGGCGCAGCCCTGGATTTGGGAGCATTTTTAATGGGTGAAGCGTGGAAGGAAGAACACAGTGATCTGGACGCTTGAGCGAGCCTACCCCCAAAGCACCCTGTCAGTTTCTCAGCGCCATCGATACTTCTGAGCCAGAGATGGGTCTTCCACTTGGACAGCAGCTGGACCCACCAGGGTGCCCCGGATTCCAGAAGGGCAGGCCGGCAGCGATGTGTTGGCCCCAAGGCAGGTCCAATCCCCCTTCTGGGCAACCTCAGGGAGCTTCTCTCCACCAGGACAAATCCCTCCAGGGAACACAACAGCTCGGCACGGTTCCTGGGGCTTGGGAGGGGCGCCCAGAGGAAGGGGCAGGCTGGCATTAATCCGTACTAGTGAAGAACGCCCCTCCCCAGGCCTTTGCGCCCACAGCAAAAGCTGCTGGCCAAGTCAAAGAGCCTCCTACCTCGGTGAGAAAGATGGCAAACTCGTCCGGGAGGATCCAGGAACGGGGGTAGAAGTTGTACTCCTCCGGGAAGAGCTCCTGCATTGTCCGCATGGCACGACTCAGGTTGACCTTCCGCACCATTTCGGTCATGCCTGATGGAGAGGGGAGGAAGCGTGAGCAAGGGCACTTCCCAGCTGAGACTACCCTGCCCAGGATGCCCAACCAGGTGCCTGGGACGACGGGACTGAAAGCCAAGACGCTCACGGGACACCAGAGAGGGGAAGGCTGAGTTACAGCCATTGAACGGGTCACGTCCAGGCCCTTCAACTCAGTCCCTGCGTTACAGTTGGAGAGTGGCTTTTTTGACCTTTGATTACCTGTTCCTGGCTGGCAACCTAGCATTTTATTTTATTTTTTTGCATTGTTTACCTGTTTGAGTATACGGTTTATAAACTGCCCAGAGAACCCCAGTTATTAAGCTGATTAACATCAGGATAAATTAAACATAGGGAAGCTTAAAAGGCACAGGCTTCCCCATCATGGAAGGAGCCTGCAGGCCCTGGCCATAATAATTGGGTACAAGGGACTGTTCCATTTTATTTCTCTGAAACTAGAATCCTAAACATACCTAACAAGGAGTAAACTTTCACAGCAGGATAAACTTCTAAGTATGCAAGGAGCTTGTTTGTGCCACCACAGGAGAAATGTGCATGGCTCAATTTATCACATATTGACCGGCCGGCGTGATTTTAAAAGACTCCCCTGCTTTTCATTAAAAGGACCCCCGAAGTAGGGCTTGGCTACTGCTGAAGACTCTCTTCCGAGCGTGAGAGGAGCAGCGGAGTGGTGCACGCTTTGCCGCCAGGAGGAAAACCAAACCTTGGAGTTTAATTACCCTTGGAAGGGGCTGCCTCTTTGCCAGTTTGATCCCAGGGAACATATTTTTATAGATCCTTGTATAGCACAATAAAGGGGAAGCAGGAACGGTGATGAGCCAGTAATGCAGTCCTTCCTTAGCTGGATTCAGGAAGAGATTAATGAGAAATAAGGGAGCTTTAAGAAGTTTAATGGCCCTGATATCAAGGAAAGGTTGTGTTAAATTCCTCCGCGCTTAAAAGAAAATTGCCCATTGGAGAAATCTCTTTCGGCAGAAGAAAAAGACAGAACTGCTTTGGCTGGTGCACTGAGGGACGCGTATTGTTTCCAGCAAGATCAAGAAGTGGGAAATGTTTATTAGCGGTACAGAGTCAATGATTTGGGCGCGCCTTCTGTCCAGAAACGGTGTTCTAAGTTCACCCCATTAGAATATGCATCCACAAGAAGGATCAACCACCAAGAGATTTTAGGGAGGGGGGAACAATTCACCGGTGGACATTTAGAACACTAAAAAACATTTTCTCCCCCTCCCTGCTAGAAAATGACCAGCCCAGACATAACCCAACGCTTATGAACCTTGCAGAACTCAGAGAGGAAGTGGCAGCCGGCCTAGAGGGTCTCTCTGTGTGCTGTGAAACAGGATCATCCCGCGTCCAACTTTTCAGCAGACCGAGCCATGGCCCCCGCGCTCGTCATTTTTGCAAAGCCAACCCCAGTTCGCATCAAAGGTCAATTACCTGGAAATTTGTTGACCTGGCCAGAATAAATGGCATTGTCGTGAAACGAGACAGCGTGCCAGTAGATGTCGCAGGGCAAACGGCGACCAAATGGGAACTGGACACAGTGGAAGAGAGAAACACAAAAACGCAACTTAGCCAGAGTTCCCCACGCCCACAAACACCCCCTCTCTCTTTCACTTAGTATTTGGCAAAGATGGCACATAGGAAGAGGGAGATATTCTGCAAACATTCCTCGGGCGTTGCTCCTTTTTTTAAAAAAAAGGAATGAACAAGGAAAACGGAAAGCATCAAAAACCTCAGCTTCGTCAACAGCCGGCTACGGGAGAGAGAAAACAATTCATTAACGCACTAATTGAGCACGTGCGTGCGTTCATTCTCCCCTGCTTAATGGGGAAGGTGACACCCACAACCGCCAACAACAGCAACAGAGAAGGGGGATCTGCGACTCGCTGCCTGACGCCTTGAGACGGGGGTGGGTGGGGTGGGAAGCGAAGACGCCCAACGGGGAACCTATGAAA